ATCTCTAGAGATGACTTTGTGATGGCAGCTTTATTCTAATTATTCCTCTTTAAGCCAGTTAGGCACAGGAGCCTGGAAAAAATTCCATAAGAGATAAGTGTGCATGGGTAGCTCATACTCGGTTGTGCACCAGAATTATAACATATTAAAGTCAACCAGTGTATAGGAGTAATAACCTTTTAGGGAGTTCAGAAACACTAGAAACCCATATGCATCACCGGGAAAGCTGTTGAGGGATGAAGTGCAGCTCCTGCACCAAGGCCAAAAGCACTGGCAGACGCAATGCTGGCTGGAATCCCGGTCCCGGAAACCTTCCAAATTGAGGTGCAACAGGTCCAGGAACTGAAGTAGGCAATGGAAGGATCATGCTGAAAAATAAAGCATGAAGTGTACTCTCAACAAACAACATATGTCAAAGGAGTAGCACAAAGTCAGAAATCATACCTGTGGCCTGACTGAGAGCGGTGGAATGGAGGATACTACACCAGATGCAACAGGGGGATCCATGAATTAACAGAAGCCACTGCTGCAGCAGGGTCAACACCTCTTAGCGTTCCTAGAGTCATGATGAGCAGCAGCACTAACTAGACTGCATATGAATATACGATCATGGTTAAACCTAGGCGCAAAATCTAATGGTTGATCACTAAGATCCGCCATTGGATCAACTGCTTGATTCCCAAATGCAAAGGGCTGCCCTTCCTGAGCCGAGGAAATGGGCATATAGAAATGATCTATAAATGTGCTCCTTTTGATCTTCACACTCTCTTTACTGCCATCGTGCAAGAAGTCAAAAAGCAGGCAGAAAATATAAAATAAAGTTACAAAACATCATGAGCAATAGAAATTTAATTCCACATTAATTTGCTAGAGGTGGTGTGCAGAGTACAAAACTTCAGCAGAATTAAGGTTCATAATATAGAAGGTCCAGAAATTCAATATCACATAAGGAAAGAAAACTTTCTTCATGTAATATACCCAATTTTCATTAATTAAGCTACTAGTCTCTATCTTATTTACAGCAGAAAAAATAAGAGATAACTTTCAAAACCTGGTTGTTATGTATTATAATCACTGATATAGCCATATAATCCAGGCGTCTGAATGGGTGTTCTTATAATAACAAAATAAAAATATAAAATGAGATCCCATTTTGTAATCTTTTCACATGATTCGTTTATTTAAAACAAAAAATCCACATGGGGGCTTGAACCGCAGAACAATAAGCCAACATAAATGTTATAGTTTCTAATCACATAGTTGTAAATTATATAGTCTACCCCCTATGTTTCAAAAAATTTAATCAATAGCAGGAACTAGTTTTGATTCAGAGGTAAACAAACCAAATATTTAAAAGAAATAGAAAAAGAAGTAAAAGAAGAAAAATAAAACATTTAAGAGGTAGATGTTTTCACGAAGAAAATGACCTGTAATAATTCTTCAGTCACAACATCAATAGTTTCCATCATTCAGAGTTTAACCTCATCTTAAAAATTTTTTGAAGGGTAAGACATCATTCTATCAGTATATCCTTTCAATTTCAAGGTTCCCAGTGCCCAGACCCAATTTTTTTTTATTTTTAATCTTACACCATAATTTCTATCTAATAAAGTTCCATAGCCAGAAAGCGGTGCATAGAAAAAAAACCCTAAGTGACATACAGTTCTTCCTGGTCACAAATTCATCATGAACCATTAAATTACTTATCTAGGGATTTGGACTCTAAATGCAAAATCATCCAAACAGAAGACTATAAACGGATGAAGAATGCTCATATTGCCAACAAAAAGGGAAAAGGAACACCTCAATAGCATGAATGCTTAATCAACTACTTCCAAATAAACAAATAAATGAAAAACAGAAAAATCTTCAGATGGGAGTATATATTCTCCAGCCCCTGTTCAAAACAATACAAAAAGAAAAAGAATTCAAAAGACACAAGAATACACAAAAAAACAGTGAGGTTGAAATGCTGGAATCTGATACTTTTTCACAAAAATAGCTCTAAGAAAGGTAGCATTGATGAGTAGTATCAACACAAGAAAGATAGTGTTAACTAGAAAAAGATGAGGTCGACAGAACTAGTCTTGAGCACAAGCTTCACATGCAAGTTCAATAGCTCAGAGTTTATTACCTGTAACAGAAGAATAACTAGAAGGTACCTCCTGCTGATGAACAGATGGACTGGAATGTAAATTTTCTTGATGAGGAAATCCGGCATTGCTTCTCCAGCTGAAGATCCATCTCTCCAGCGTAAGGTAATTGCACATCAGGAATATATGAAGACGGAGCAGAACTTATAGATGAAGTCTCCTGTTGATAAGCCACTGGTGGCTGCTGTGAAGATGGCAGTGGCACTGGAAACTGTTGATAACCAGATGCAGGAAGTGAATGGTGTTGGGTATTACATAATGAAATCAGAAGCTGTGGGATATGATCATGGAAATGATTTTGTTCTCTGGTCTGGAAGCTGGCGTTAAACGGGAGTGCAGATGTGATTCTCCATTGCAGCCCTGCATTGGCCATTCTTTGGCCCTGGCAGCCCAACTCTGTGCACGCTGTGGGCTGCCATTACAAGAATCATTTAAAGGTATTACAAAGATCAATAAAATCAAACCCAGTTAAATATACTCGAGAAATAATAAATAAACCCTGAGATCAGGATCACTTTTAGCAACATTTGTGAAGATACAAATATGTCAAAAAATTAAAAGAGCAGAATAGACAATTTTTTTTTTTTTTTTTTTTTTAACATCTTAACGTCCTATTTTTGAAGCAAGACCCCTTCATGCCATCGTCAGCACTCACTAGAAGAAAGCATGAAAGAATATGTTTGTCTTTGGCAGCATGCACATGAATCATCATTTTGATATACTTCTTGGCTCAATCTATTAACTAGAAACATAGATGCACCAGAGGGTTAAGCTTAGGGTAAAACCGAGAGTCAAGGGTTTAATTGCATTGTGTGACCTACTGGGAGTATTATTCAACACAAGTTTCCTGGTGACCATGGTTGTAGGGTCTAGAAGTAGCCCTAATCAACTCGAGACAAAGATGCTACTAAAGTTCATGAAGAGTGATGGACTTGCTTTTAAATCTAAGTTTTGCCTTAAATATCACAATGAGATTTTTATCCCACAAATTTAGAAAGTGCATGATAGGTTGGGGCAAATAAATGACAGGGATACTATGTTATCATCAGCCAATGACAAATCAATCACAAATTAAATGACGCAGCGACAACAAAAAAATGTTAGCAATAAACTAGTCCACAGTAATAACAGTGAAGCGATTTCAAATACCAAAACGGAAAACAACTGCTTACAGTGTAATCCAACTTTGCTGGTGATGACCCCAGTTCGGATTGCTCCAATCCTACAATATTGATTTTATTGATAAAGTTAAAGAGTACGCATCGCCAGATATATAAAAAACGAACAAAAAATAAACGGGTTAACTACCTGATTGGGCTGAGGATAAGTTGAGAAATCTGAAGGGCGCGGGAGGTCGAGGAGGAGAGGGTAATTGTTGATGTTGGGGGGGTGGTGGTGCGCAGGATAAGGAATAGAAGGAGGAGGAGGGTGGAGGATAAGAAGAAGCGGGAGGTGGAGCCCACTGAGACGGAGGAGGAGCGGGAGGAGATGGAGAGTGAGATGAAGGATGTGGTAGTGGAATTGGTTGGAGTACCATTGGTTGCCATGTGTAGGGACTGGCGGTCTTGGTGCTTGCTGTGTCTGCTGTTGGTGAGGAAGTGATGGTGGTGAAGATGATGATCCGCCGTGGGTGGTGGCTGTGGAGGCGGCGGCGGTGGCCTCATGTACGGTGGGGCTGTTGGTACGCGTCCATTTTTGTTAATATTAGACTTCTCCTTGTTGAATGAGGAATAAAGAAAGGGGAGAAGCGATATTTTGTGACGAGCAGGTGCAGGGAGTCCCGTGAGACCCGCTGTCGGGATATTTACTCTTCGTAAAGAGGTGAGAATTAACTGGAAGCTTTTTGTAGCGAGGACTAAATGCGTTTAGATTTTTATTATTTAGAGTAACCGACATGTTTCACCCGAGTTTGCGAATACTAAGCAGATACCCCATTCCTTTTATTTCAGGTTTTCACCCCTAAACAACTCTGTTTTTATTTTAATAATAAAAAGGCTAAATAGTTTACCTATTTTGATACTAAAAGAACAAAATAATCCTAAAAAACCCCAAAATCTCAAATTTCTTCCACCTCCACCTCGCCTTTTCATCTTACCTTTCTCATCTTTGTCGGCGTGCCCTGCCCAGCATTTCTCCTTTCCGGTAAATGAAGCCTAGATCAGCGTGATAATCCATCTCCCTCTTAATTCCTCCATTTTTTTCTTTCTTCATAGACGATTTTGCCTTTCCGTGAGTGCAGTGCCCAACCGACTAATTCCGGCGTCACCGGACAACCCATCACCAAGCAATCACTTCCCCTTAACCAACACACCAAAACCCTCTCTACCTCTCATCCAAGAAAACCCCTTAATCGCACCACCAAAAATCTAGGGTTTGCATTATTTTTCCATTTTCCCATCGATTGGCAACAAAATCCCTCCCGTCAACGCCATTCACCTCACTGGCCTCCCCTCTCGAAAACCCCTCATCCTGACAATCGTTTGGTACCGACGCACCCATCACTTCCATCTCTTTGCGCGACAACTGGGTTTGGGTGATTTAGGCCTTTGTTTTGAGTTGATTTTGTTGCGTTTTGTTGTGTTTTGGAGTGAATTAATTTGTGATTGGTTGTCGGTTTTTTTTTTTTTTTTTGGTGTTTTCCCCGCTACTGTGATTTTCCTTGCCACTACCGTCACCACAATGTGTTTTGGAGTGAATTTGATTTGTTGATGATGTAGGGTGGGCTGACAGCGGTGCTGGTTTGAATGATGGTGGTTTGGCCAGTTGTGTGGCGGCGGTTTGATGGGCTGGTTTAGAATGGACTATGGTTGGAGAGAGAGAGAGAATGGTTAGCAAAAGCTTGTGTGCTTACGTGAAATCGATATTGGGTTCCACCATTAGTCGAGAACCGAAGTCCCTAGCAAAAGCAAATGCAGAAGGGTGTTGGGTGAAGAGAAGAACCGTTATTTGCGGTGACAAACCAAGCCAAGACCGAATAGCTAGACTCTGCCTGGATCCAACAGAACCGGTAAAGGGGGCAGGTGCACTGAATATTGCAATTTTAGGAGCGCTGTGATTAAATAGGTGATGGCTGATTCGATCATCATTGAAGCTGGGTAACTTACGAGTAGCATAAAAGGAGAGAGCAATGAAGATGAACCCAGATAGCCATATTGACAATACTCCAACTTGCAACACCTGTAAATAAATAAATTTAAAAACAAAAGTGCATCAATGAAATATTGACAAGAGAGAAAAAGAGAAACGCAGAAAGGAACTGCACCTTCATTGATAACTTCACAAGAATGAAATGAAAATGGGTTTGTTTTAATTTTAGTTAAAGTAGAATTGGGTTTAGCGTGAAAAAGAAAGAGTGGAACTTTAACTGAAAAAAAATAGAAGAGTAGGAAACACACAAGCCGCCACTACACTTCAGCATTGGCAGTTTGGCACCACCAAGACCGGGAAGACCATTCAAGACATGTGAAGTTTGGCGTCATCGATACATCACTTCCATTATCAAGAGTAAACGATATTTTCCCACCAAGGTTTGGCGAATTTCAGTTCCCACCCCTGGTTTCATAAATTGCAGTTCCAGTCTTAAATTAACAGATAACTATTTAATTTAACAGTTAAAAGGGTAAAATAGTTATTTCAAAATAACCCTTCACTTCTCTAATTCACCCCACCGGCAATTTCAGGCCATTCCAGCCTGATTCCGACCCCTTCTGACACCACCATTATAATCCCCTCAACCCCGACATCAAAACCCCCTAACCTCCCCGTCTAATTGAACCCCCTAATCGCCAGTCGTCTCTTTTAGTGTCAATCGACGTTTCATCCAAATTCTGGCAAGTCCCGACACCAAAAACCACCCCCAAGACCACCAATAGCATTGCCGGCTTCCCCCCACTAAAACCCCCAACATCTTCGACTGCAATTGCCCGCCGATCGCCGTCGCCTCTCCCTTGGGTTTTTGCATTTTTTTTTCTCCCCTTTACAGTCAAATTCTGGCACCTCGCCGATGTGCAATCAGGTGAAAAAGTTATGAGTTTTGGTGAGAAGGATAAGGGGATGTTGATGGTGGTGTCAAAGAGGTCCAATGGTGCCAAAATCAGGCCAGATTCTTGGCTTGGCCGAGATCCTCTGGGGGTTATTTGAGAGAAATTTGAGATATATGGGTTATTCAAGATAAAAATAACGACATTAATTTAAGAATGAGAATCTGTAATTTATGAAACCAGGGGTGAAAAGTTTAGATTCATCAAACTTTGGGTGGGAAAATGTCGTTTACTCATGATAAAAATAATGTAACTATGAGATCCCAAAGATTCGTCAAACCTTGGGTGAGAAAATGCCGTTTACTCATGATAAAAATAATGTAAGTATGAGATCCCAATAACAAATTTTGTTAATTAAAACACTTGAGGTAAAACTTATTGTATTCAAACTTAAGAAGATATGTGATGACATAAGAAGCGCCATGAAATTACAGATAATTCTGAAAAAACAAAGAGACATGAGAATATTACTTCTCAACGTTGGAAATTTCGTTATATATAACAGACAAAAAAAAAAGGTTGCATATTTGATATAGCAGGCCTGGATTATACTGTGAAAATTTTAAGACAAATTTTTGCTATAGTGAAACAATTATTATATAATTTATTATTATTATAAGAGAAAATCACGTACCATGCACCTGTTATTTCTGAATCTGTCACTTCAATGGTAATTTTTCCATTTTTAATCAAACCCACTAACTTTTATAAGTCTTTTCACTTTCATTGACCATATTAATTTATATTTTCTTGAGTAAACGACATATTCCCACCCAAGGTTTGACGACTTCTCAAATTAGTATCCCAAGTTACATTTATTCCAGATTTTTACCCTTAAAATGACAGAAAATGTTTGATGTAACGGTAAAGGGATAAATTGGTCATTTTACATGGGCGGTGCACGTTAGCAGATTGTCGCCTCTAACAATCCTCTGATGCACGTTAGCAGACGGTGTTCCCGATGTTTTTTGCCTTTTTTCCGACGATCTTCTATCCAAAATCACCCTTGTGACCACCATTTGAACCTCATCCTCCCCTCTACAAAACCATACCCTTCATAACCCCTCATTACTCACCGATCGTCAACCACGGCAGCCGCAACATGGGACTGGTTTTTGCCAGTTTCTGGCCGTTTGAACGACGACAACCCCAACCACCACCACTATTTGACTCCTCGCATCCTCTCTTACAAAACCCCTAACCTTCCCAGCCACGGCAGCTCACCGTTTGCCGTCCACCAATTCACTAAAAACCGACCGATGAACACGAACTCTTGGCCAACGAACAATGACTAAACATTTACTGAGGACATAGGAGTTTTATAGATTTGGAGACAATGGTTGTAGTGGTGGTGTCCAATTGGATTTTTGCCATCGGAATCTGGCAAAGAAGAGTGGAAGCCTAAGCCTAACGGTGCCGGTGATTGGAGGGGCCAATGAGTCAGGAACCAGAGGGGTTTTGGGCGATGAACTACAGGGAAAGTGATGGAGGTGACCAGGGGGTTTGACGTCGTCATAAACAGCCCAGATCAAGCTATTTTTGACAAGGGTGTGTAGTGACCAAAGGTGTTTTTGGCATAATTTGAAAATAAAATGATAAGTTAAAATTTTATAATTTTACTAATTTAGGGGTTAAAACATAATTTATTAATTTAGGGTTAAGGGCATTATGATAATTGTGCCCTCCAAACCTTAAAAATTGCTAACATTGTTATTTTAAGGTTGAGAACATGGAATAAATATAACATGGAGTACCAACTTGGGATTCCATCAAACCTTGGGTGGGACTGTCATTTACTCTATTTTTTTTAAAATAAAACTAACAAAAAAATGTTTAAGGGGTTTGGCTAATGGGGCCGGAGGTAGAGGTGGTCTCTAGTGGACTACCCACGCAGCCCCTATCATGTTGGCAAATGAATCCCAAGTGGTTTTCTCCATTTTTTTTAATTATATTCAACCAATAGTACTCATTAGAGGTGTTCAAAAGAATCGATTGGAACCAGAACCAATGGATACCCAAGTATTGGTTTCTGTTCCTACCCAGAATCGACCGTCAACTGGTAGGTTTCGGTTCCAAATTTTTGGAACCGTTACTGTACAATTCCGATTCTTATAGTTAGGAACCGAAACCGTGAACCAAGACTAATATAAAATAAAATTAAAAAGTATGGGGATTAATAAAAACTTTTGTAGAAAAAGTAATGTGAATACATTTATACTTATATTTCATAATATTTAAAATAAGTTAGTTTGACTTTTGAGAATATACCTTTACAAAGCAATAGAGTTTGTAATTTTGAATTTATAATTTGTAATTTTATTTTTGCTAAACAAGTACCAAGGGGGTATTTGTAAGTTTTTTAAAGTTTTTTTGCCTTTTTAAAAACTTTTGGGGGGTAATATAATTTTATAGGGTACCCAGAACCAGAACCTAAACCGAAACCGCTGTTATAGGTTCTGGTTCTGGGTACCTAAGAACCGAAACTGTCGATTCTGGTTCTAGTTCCGATTCCAAATTTCAAGGAACCGTTGGTTCCGATTCTAGTTCCTTCAAAAAATACAAGATACCCAGAACCGAACACCCCTAGTACTCATCGTATCCTTCAGAGAATTTGACGACTAAACATATTTTGCTTTCGCCACAAAAGAAAATAAAAGGATTAAACTAATCTGATGTTAGTGGATTGCCGTAAAAGTAGCTATCCAAATGAAAACCGATGGTTTTAAACCCGACTTGACCTTGACCTGGTCAAGGAGCCAATCCCCAGGTCGGGCAATCCGATCAGTTGAACTGGTCAATCAAATTGATGACGTCAACAAATCCAATCAGTTTGAAACTTAACAAACATACCCATGATCCTATAGGTTTGAAATCCAACAAATACACCCCTGCAAACTAGCCAAGAAACCCTAACCATCGCAACTGCAATCCACCTCAAATCAACCCAAAACCAGAAAAACCACCACCAGGCCACCATGAAACCCTAATCCACCACAAATGACAAAACACCACCATGTGCCACAAATTTTTTTATTAATTCTTGTCTCAAATGCCAACAAAATCAAACTCACTAATCACTCAAAGGCCGAGTGAAGTGCGACCAACAGCAAACAGGCAGATGACAAAGTCGCAGAGCGGCCTAAGTAGGTCAACCTAAGGATGCGAAGCAAAGAATGAAGATTGGAGAATTAAATTGGAATAGAGATTTTGGTTTTAGGGATTTTAGAGACCTAGTTTAGCCACCAATCTGGTTGAACCGATGGTTCGGTACTATTCTACTGGTTCAAACTTGGGTCAATCCAGATCAATGCCTGAAACCGGGTTCAAAGTGTCCCTAGATCGAAGATGGGGCCAATTCCCGATCAGTCCAGTCCAGGTTTTAAAATCCTGATGAAAACAAGATGTTTGAAATGATTAGGAAGTCAATGTCATTACTTTCAATATGAGAACTGAGAAGGGCTTTGAACCAGCAAGCAGAATTTGACCAGCCAGCAGCAAATCTACGGACTTGGAGAACCATTAGAGTGTCTGCTATTGTGATTCACAAGGTTGCACTAAAATGCTGAACTAACTTTATATCTACCATTCATCTTATAATACATGAAGTGATGAAACAAAAGGAACTACACATTTGCTACTGAAATACAGGATACACCTCGAAAAACGTGGCAAGCCTAAGCCAAAAAACTGAGATACAAATCTCTATTAAAACTGGGCAAGGCATTGTACAAGGATATATGCATCATCTAAAGACATATAGAATTACCTCAGATAAAATTCCCGTACCAAATTGAACAGGACTTAAACTTCCTTTAGCATGCATTAATTTCATATCAGGGTCATCGAGTATGCAATAGATTCATAAGCAAAATCTCCAGTTTCAGGTACATCAAATCTTCGGAAAAACCAGACCAGAATTCTTTGTGCTTGAGAGTTCAGATCAACACTAAGAAAATATAACCTCTAATCATCTCTGCCTCCGCACAGGAGATCTGGATCTTGACCTTCCCCTGCCAAAACAGTAGAGTTAATAAATCAAGAAAAATTTTGAGTTTGTAACCAAGAAAAAAAAAAAAAAAAAATACAAGTCAAATATTTGGCATCCTGCTACTTTCACCTGAGTTGTATATTGTTATAATGATGGTTGTGTATGTCTTATAAACATTAACACAATCTTAATCTTAAGACAATGTGGCAACATACCTGGTCGTCTCAAGAGAAGAATAGGGAGAATGCCTGCGCTGAGAGTGCTTGCTATGTGGTGACCGCATAACTTGTCTAGAAATGAAAACATCCATCATACTGATACGGTAAGTTCAATATTATATAATTCATGAGAGATATGCTTAGCCTTCTATAGAGTCAAAACTTAATATCCAGCTTGTCATTTCTTTTTTGGCATTAATGACAAAGGATCCCACTCATCAAAGACTACCAACTACAGTGTTATTTTAGGGGAAAAAAACTGAAAACATTATTATAATAGTCATCCCAAAACATCCTAATGATGACTTTATAATGTTTTTTACTGAATAATATGTAAAAAATTTAGACTTTTTAATCTTTTATCTGAAACAGAAGGTCTTTATGGTTGTATTTATAAGAACTCTTAAAAGTTCCACGTGTGATCCATAAATTTACTATCTTGTCCTACATAACATATCCTTTTCTCTTCATTTCTTTGAACCAAACGACCAATCCATTTTCTTGGTTTATGAAATTAAACTAATAAAATGCTATAAATCTAGATAATATCTCAAATTTCTCATCTCAATCAATGTATAGTCCTACATGACAATACTATATTGCTTAACATATCAACTTATCATATACATGTTAGTGTTTATAGAAACACACATTACTTTAGAGAAATATGTGGACAACATAATAAATTCCAAACAAGTTTGGTTTAGATTATGTTAAATTATTGGTTCTAAATGTTTCTACCACATAAAATACTAATAAATATTCACACAACTTTTATAAGAAAGTATGTGCCAAAATGTTGATTTTCAGATGCTTTTGATTCGTAAAACAAAAAATAGTTATGTTCAATCATAAGCAGGACAAGATAAAAGACAACAAAATAACATTTCAGACACACACATGTAGGTATATTTATATCAATCAAAATCAAATTTACTCTAAATGAATTGAAAAATCAAACAAACAAATACAACCTTAAACTGAATACCAATACACAAGGTTTTTGAGTGTTGTGCATTCAAGTGATAACATGTTAGACATTCTCTCTGCGCTGGCTATTTGCTTTAGGTTGAGTCAGCAAACTGGCGTAAATAGAATATGCATTTATTCTCAGCGAAAAAATCAAGTTATAGATTGGTAACCAATACGTCAGACAATGCATGTGCTACACATATCAGGAAAAAGCACTCAACTGCAGATCAAGTTCTCACAATAACAGCCTATTACTACATTTATCAACTTAAATACCAGTTTAAAGAAAAAGAAAAATGTTAACTAGGATTGTATGAGAATAATAAAACTTAGCAAATGTTCACTCAATAGTAGGGATGCAAATCCCCACCAGGATAGGAAACCAATTGGAATGAATCATTTAGTCATATATAGCTCATTAATATACTTTTAAAGAATAAAAAATAAGTAAAAAGAAAAAAAACAAATATTGCTGCTGTATTGTTTGCTAAAATAAGGCATAAATGAGAGAATAGTGACGCCACCATATGTATATGTTACCTTAGAATGTGCAGTTCACTAGTCAATATCTAAATAAGCTTAATAATGGAATATGATTACCTCAGAATGTGCAGACAACTAGTAAATACCTAAATAAGCTTAACAATATAATAAGATTGCCTCAGAATGTGCAGTCAATTAGACAATACCTAAATAAGCTTAATGACGGAGTACGACAAAAAAAATTATAATTGCAATAAACAAGGATTCCTACCTCAAGAATCAAAATTCAGTTCACAAACCTAATTTCATTAATTCATTGAACAAATTTTCCAATTCAAGATGGCAACCTCATTTTGCTTATATGCATTAATAAGCAGTCTTGAACTACACCAGAAGCCACTTAAATCAAAGTTCCAACCAAGAGATCAAAACAACAAAAAGATATAGAGAATGGTGAGGATGGGAAAAAAAAATTAAATAAAAAATGTATCAAGCATCTATCTAATTCACATATTGTCAGCAATTATTATTGATTAAATCAAGTTCACTGCTGCACACACTGAAACAACAAAAGAACCCCTGACAGGACTAAATCGTTATCCATCACTGTCAAATTAACATATTAACTAAAAAATATCCTCTGTTGGGCCATTGCATCACTCATGGATTTAGACCACTGTCACTCAGTGATTCCAATGGTTTCACTGTATCTAAAAGCTTTTTTTTTTTTTTTTTTTTTGGAACCCATAAATACCTCAACCTGTTTGGTGAACTAGAATTCCAATGTTGAGCACTCATTGTACACTATAAACTTTGCAAAACAAGAAACTTGTGCTTCTTGTAAGGTATTTGTCCCTAAGGATTTAAACACAAGCTTAAGGGAACAAACCACAGGCCTACCTACTGACTAATTCCTTGGGTTACTTTGTCTCACAACATTGAGGAAGCCAATTTGTTTGATACAAGTTCATATGAATGACACTTAATTTATGATTTCATTTCAAGTTATTTTGGTGACCAAAGCATTGTCTTTTATATAAAACACCAACTTTTCATGTTACATGTTTTTTTGAATCATAATGGGTCAGTTCACTTTTCAAGTGTTGACCACTTAGAATTTTAAAGTTTAAAGATACATAAAACAAGAAATAGAGTTTCAACCTTTGAAGATACATAGGAATAGTACAGGAAGCATGAGCAGAAGTGACAAAATCTAATAAATGCTTACCTTCTCCTAGACCTGTCAGGCGATGGAGACAAATTACGTTTTCTTGAACGTGGCTTCCTGCAGTATATAACAGGACATGAGATTTTATACAGAGTATGAGGCCAAAAAAACAAAAAAAAAAAAAAAAAAAAAAAGATAAACATCTCAATGGCAAACCTTTTAGAGTCATCTGACGTGTCATCGCTTGACTCATTGGCCTGACCGACTGAGTTGTCCTTGCTGTTTCTACCCTTACTGCTAACTGAAGAGGAGCGCCTTCCCTTATGCTTGCTTGAGTCACTAGTAAATTTATGTCTTGATGAATCCTCCTCCTTTGACTGTTTATGTTCTTTATCAATAACTTATTTGGAACTAGATCTATGGTGTTTCTCTGTGTGTCTTCTATCCTCCTTGACATCAACATGAGTGGATCTTTTTCTTGACTTGGATTCCTTAGATTTTTCCTCAGGCCTAACATCATAATCTTTCCTTTTATCTCTTGAACCATTCCGATCATCTGTCTTTTCCTTTCTTAAATGTCTTTCATCCTCCCTCCTACGATTTTCAGCTCCCTTCTCACCTGCCCCACCACCAATCTCTATTTCCTTACCACTATCTTTTCTAGAACTCTTTTTACTTTCATGTCGATCATTTTTAACTGATCTCAATCTGTTTTCAGTATTTTGAGAATTATCATTCGTTGATCTTTCCACACCAGGTAGTTCAGATTTTGTTTTCATTCCAATCTTTTCTCCTGACGTAATATTCAACCCAAAACCATTATTTCCATCCAGCAATTTTCCACTATCAACACTGTTTTCATTATCCCTATCTCTTGCACCATTGTTGTTATTTCTGGATGTAGATGCGTTACTTTTTCTTGGATCAGACTCCAAATTTTTCTGACCTCGATTATGCTCCTCAAGTACCACAGGTAAACCATTTTCAGCTGCATTACGAACCTCTTCTGAAAGCTTATTTGTGCTTGACTGCTGAACAGCATAATTTCTAGAGTTTGGCATACTGGAATTCTGAATTTCATCATCTCCAGCATCATCATCAGAGGCATAATTTGCAAGACCTAAAACATCTCCAGGGGAGCTGGAACTAGTTTTTTCACTGGTTTCTTCAGTCTCAAATTCCCTGGCTTTGACTGGAACTAGTACCATTGCAGATGCCTTAGTCGTTGGAACAGCTGGAGGACGTGGTGAGACCTTATGATTCGGTAAAATATTGTTGTGCTCAACTGCAATTATAAAAAAATTACATCACAAGAAAGAATTTTTGAAAGACAGAAAGCAGTAGCTTACTTCAATGCTCGCACTGTGAATTCATAAACAAGGTCTCAAATATCGTAATGCACTCACCTTCAATTGTAAGATCATCTTCCATTAGAACTTTAGTCGCAATTTCATCAAAGAGCTCATCAGTAACCTATTTCATCAAAGAGTTCATCAGTAACCTGTTCAAAACATTACAATTACAACTATGAAAGCAAAACAGTAAATTAGAAAAACATAAGTCTTCAGGCAACTTAACCTTTAAAAGAACTTCAGTTAGGATGCGTTTAATTTCCTGGTTAATCGCTGCAGTTCTAGCTGCTTCCACGTAATCCTGCATGGAGCAAATGTATAGGTCAAATTCCAAAGACAAGTTACATTAATTTCACAATAATAATAACCCGTTGAAAGAGAACTAACTCATCATCAGGATAAACAGATATAGAAATAAAACCTCATCATCAGGATAAACAGATATAGAAATCAAACCTCATCATCATCCTCTTCTTCAGTTGATTTAGAAGAATCAAGGCTTTTGCTCTCTGCCTGATCACCTTTCCCAGATGATCTAGGAGCAGATTCATCGTCAATGGATTCTGATTCCCCTTTTGGATTCTCTAGAGATGACTTTGTGATGGCAGCTTTATTCTTAATTATTTCCTCTTTAAGCCAGTTAGGCACAGGAGCCTGGAAAAAATTCCATAAGAGATAAGTGTGCATGGGTAGCTCATACGTCGGTGTGCACCCAAGAATTATTAACATATTAAAGTCAACCAGTGTATAGGAGTAATAACCTTTTTAGGACGTTCAGAAACACTAGAAACCCCATATGCATCACCTGGGAAAGCTGTTGAGGGATGAAGTGCAGCTCCTGCACCAAGGCCAAAAGCACTGGCAGACGCAATTGCTGGCTGGAATCCCGGTCCCGGAAACCTTCCAAATTGAGGTGCAACAGGTCCAGGAACTGAAGGTATGGCAATGGAAGGATCATGCTGAAAAATAAAGCATGTAAGTGTAATCTCAACAAACAACATATGTCAAAGGAGTACGCACAAAGTCAGAATCATTACCTGTGGCCCTGACTGAAGAGCAGGTGGAATTGGAGGATAACCTACACCAGATGCAACAGGGGGATTCCATGAATTAACAGAAGCCACTGCTGCAGCAGGGTCAACACCTCTTAGCGTTCCTACTGAGTCATGATGAGCAGCAGCATAACTAGACTGCATATGAATATCACGATCATGGTTAAACCTAGGTGCAAAATCTAATGGTTGATCACTAAGATCCGCCATTGGATCAACTGCTTGATTCCCAAATGCAAAGGGCTGCCCTTCCTGAGCCGAGGAAATGGGCATAGAAAATGATCTATAAATGTGCTCCTTTTGATCTTCACACTCTTCTTTACCTGCCATCATGCAAGAAGTCAAAAAGCAGGCAGAAAATATAAAATAAAGTTACAAAACATCATGAGCAATAGAAATTTAATTCCACAATTAATTTGCTAGAGGTGTGGTGCAGAGTACAAAACTTCAGCAGAATTAAGGTTCATAATATAGAAGGTCCAGAAATTCAATATACACATAAGGATAAGAAACTTTCATTCCTATGTAATATACCCTAATTTTCATTAATATAAGCTACTAGTCTCTATCTCTTATTTACAGCAGAAAAATAAGAGATAACTTTCAAATCCTGGTCTGTTATGTATTATAATTCACTTGATATGCCATATAATCCAGGCATCTGAATGGGTGTTCTTATAATAACAAAATAAAAATATAAAATGAGATCCCATTTTGTAATCTTTTTCACATGATTACGTTTTATTTAAAACATAAATCCACATGGGGGCTTGAACCTGCAGAACAATAAGCCAACATTAAATGTTATAGTTTCTAAATCACATAGTTGTAAATTATATAGTCTACCCCTATGTTTCAAAAAGAATTTAATCAATAGCAGGAACTAGTTTTGATTCAGAGGTAAACAAACCAAATATTTAAAAGAAATAGAAAAAGAATGTAAAAGAAGAAAAATAATAACATTTAATGAGGTAGATGTTTTCACGAAGAAAATGACCTGTAATAATTCTTCAGTCACAACATCAATAGTTTCCATCATTCAGAGTTTAACCTTCATCTTAAAAATTTTTTGAAGGGGTAAGACATCAATCTCTATCAGTATATCCTTTCAATTTCAAGGTTCCCAGTGCCCAGAACCCAATTTTTTTTCTTTTTTATCTTACACCATAATTTCTATCTAATAAAGTTCCATATTATTTAGATAACCATATATACCTCTTTCAAAGAACCAAGAGCATAACTCAATGAGCCAGTAAGCGTGCATAGAAAAAAAACCCTAAGTGACATACAGTTCCTTCCTTGGTCACAAATATCATCATGAACCATTAAATTATTATCATAGGGATTTGGACTCTAAATGCAATAAATCATCCAAACAGAAGACTATAAACTGATGAAGAATGCTCATATTGCCAACAAAAAGGGAAAAGGAACACCTCAATAGCATGAATGCTTAATCAACTACTTTCCAAATAAACAAATAAATGAAAAACAGAAAAATCTTCAGATGGGAGTATTAATTCTCCAGCCCCTGTCCAAACACAATACAAAAAGAAAAAGAATTCAAAAGACAAAAGAATACACAAAAAACAGTGAGGTTGAAATGCTGGAATCTTGATACTTTTTCACAAAAATAGCTCTAAGAAAGGTAGCATTGATGAGTAGTATCAACACAAGAAAGATAGTGTCAACTAGAAAAAGATGAGGTCGACAGAACTAGTCTTGAGCACAAGCTTCACATGCAAGTTCAATATGCTCAGAGTATTATTACCTGTAACAGAAGAATAACTAGAAGGTACCTCCTGCTGATGAACAGATGGACTGGAATGTAAATTTTCTTGATGAGGAAATCCGGCATTTGCTTCTCCAGCTGAAGATCCATCTCTACCAGCGTAAGGTAATTGCACATCAGGAATATATGAAGACGGAGCAGAACTTATAGATGAAGTCTCCTGTTGATAAGCCACTGGTGGCTGCTGTGAAGATGCAGCTGGCACTGGAAACTGTTGATAACCAGATGCAGGAAGTGAATGGTGTTGGGTATCTACATAATGAAAATCAGAAGCTTGTGGATACTGATCATGGAAATGATTTTGTTCTTCTGGTCTGGAAGCTGGCGTAAACTGGGAGTGCAGATGCTGATTCTCCATTGCAGCCCTTGCATTGGCCCATTCTTTGGCCCTGGCAGCCCAATCTTGTGCACCGCTGTGGGCTGCCATTACAAGAATCATTTAAAGGTAATTACAAAGATCAATAAAATCAAACCCAAGTTAAATATACTCGAGAAAAAAATAAATAAATAAATAAACCATGAGATCAGGATCACCTTTTAGCAACATTCTGTGAAGATACAAATATGTCAAAAAATAAAAAGAGCAGAATGGACAATTTTTTTTTTTTTTTTTTTTTTTTTTACATCTTAACATTCCTATATTTTGAAGCAAGACCCCTTCATGCCATCGTCAGCACTCACTAAGAAAGCATGAAAGTAATATGTTTGTTTTGGCAGCATGCACATGAATCATCATTTTGATAATACTTCTTGGCTCAATCTATTAACTAAGAAACATAGATGCACCCAGAGGGTTAGGCTTAGTGGTAAAAGCCTGAGGTCAAGGGTTTAAATTGCATTGTGTGACCTACTTGGAGTATTATATTCAACAAAGTTTCCTGGTGACCATGGTTGTAGGGTCTAGAAGTAGCCCCTAATTCATAACTCGAGACAAAGATGCTACTAAAGTTCATGAAAGAGTGATGAACTTGCTTTTAAAGTTCTAAAGTTTTGCCTTAAATATCACAATGAGATTTATTATCCCACAAATTTCAGAAAGTGCATGATAGAGTTGGGGCAAAAATGACAGGGATACTATGTTATCATCAGTCCAATGACAAATCAATCACAAATTAAATGACGCAGCGACAACAAAAAATGTTTAGCAATAAACTAGTCCACAGTAATAACAGTGAAGCGAACTTTCAAATACCAAAACGGAAAACAACTGCTTACCAGTGTAATCCCAACTTTGCTGGTGATGACCCCAGTTCGGATTGCTCCAATCCTACAAATATTGATTTTATTGATAAAGTTAAAGAGTACGCATCGCCAGATATATAAAAAACGAACAAAAAATAAACGAGGTTAACTACCTGATTGGGCTGAGGATAAGATTGAGAAATCTGAAGAGGCGCGGGAGGTCGAGGAGGAAGAGGGTAATTGTTGATGTTGGGGTGGTGGTGGTGCGCAGGATAAGGAATAGAAGGAGGAGGAGGTGGAGGATAAGAAGAAGCGGGAGGTGGAGCCCACTGAGACGGAGGAGGAGGCGGAGGAGATGGAGAGTGAGATGAAGGATGTTGGTAGTGGAATTGGTTGGAGTACCATTGGTTGCCATGTGTAGGGACTGGCGGTCTTGGTGCTTGCTGTGTCTGCTGTTGGTGAAGGAAGTGATGGTGGTGAAGATGATGATCCGCCGTGGGTGGTGGCTGTGGAGGCGGCGGCGGAGGCCTCATGTACCGGTGGGGCTGTTGGTACGCGTCCATTTTTGTTAATATTAGACTTCTCCTTGTTGAATGAGGAATAAAGAAAGGGGAGAAGCGATATTTTGTGACGAGCAGGTGCAGGGAGTCCCCGTGAGACCCGCTGTCGGGATATTTACTCTTCGTAAAGAGGTGAGAATTAACCTGGAAGCTTTTGTAGCGAGACTAAATGCGTTTAGATTTTTATTTATTTAGAGCAACCGACATGTTTCCACCCGAGGTTTGGCGAAATCCTAAGCAGATACCCCATTTCCTTTTATTTCAGATTTTCACCCCTAAACTAATTCATTTTTTTTTTATTTTAACAATGAAAGATTAAAATAGTCTTTATCCTATTTTGATACTGAAAAAAGAAAATAATCCTAAAAAACCCCAAATCTCAAATTTCTCTCCACCTCCACCTTTGCCTTTTCATCTTTCACTTTCTCTCATCTTTGTCGGTGTCGTCGCCACCCATTTTTCGATCCTTTCCTATAATGAAGCCCAGATCTAGTAGTGACTATCCATCTCTCTCTTACATTCCTCCATTTTTTTTCTTCTTCATCACATGATTTTGCCTTTCCCGTGAGTGTAGTGTCCAACCACTTGATTCCGGCGTCACCGGACACCCCCATCACCACCAATCACTTCCCCTTAACCAACACACTAAAACCCCTCTCACCTCCGTCCCAGAGAACCTCTTAATCGCCAACCACCACAAATTTAGGGTTTGCATGATTTTTCCACTTTCCCGTTAATTCCGGTAATAGAAATCTCTCTCGTCAACGCCATTCACCTCACTGGCCTCCCCTCTCGAAAACCCCTTCCATCTTTGACAGTCGTTTGGTCATCGGTCGCCATCCATCACTTCCCCATCTCTTTGCGCGACAACTGGGTTTGGGTTGATTTGGAGCCTTTGTTTTGAGTTTGATTTGCTGCATTTTTGTTGTGTTTTGGAGTGAATTTAATTTGTTGATTGATTGTGGGTTTTTTCTGGTTGTTTTCCCCGCTGCTGTTGATTTTCCTTGCCACTACCATCACCTACCGCTTGTGTTTTGGAGTGAATTTGATTTGTTGATTGATTGTAGGGTGGGCTGACTGCGGTGGTGGTTGGGAATGAGGGTGGTTTGGCCAGTTGTGGTGGCGGTTTGGGATGGGTTGGCTTAGAATGGACTATGGTTTGGAATGGGGTGAAGGGCAGTTTCATAATAGCCTGTCACAGAACCAAACCGTCACTAACAACGTTTCATTTAAGTGTGGGGATTTGGAACAAATGGAACCAAGGGTATTCGCTTGGGATTTCGCCAAACCTCGAATGGGAATACGTCGTTTACTCTTTTATTTATAATTAAGAATCTATATTTTTTAAGAAAGAAATATATAGATGTGATTATTCATAAAACATACATAGTACATAAATTGAAAAATGCTGCAATTACAACCAAATCTTACAACATTTTCTTGCAACTCTAACATGTCAATAGATTGGCACTATTACATAAACTCTCACCACACCTAAGACATTGCTAGAAATAAACTATAAGAACGGTTGTTCCTTCGTAAGAAAATGAATAGTTGTTATTTAAGGAACAATTATTCATTTAATAAAGAATGACCATTCCTTCCGTGAGGAACGACTATCCTTCAGTATGATGAAATTGATGTGACACTAACAATTCATTTGTCCATTATCACGTCGGAGTTGTAAAAGAAATTGGTAAAACTAGATCGTGGGCTAAATAATATAATTATCTCATATTCATCTTTTATTAATACACCGTTAACAGATAGCTGTCACTGTAAACAAGTGCATTTGCCACTCAATTTTCTCTGGAAAGAAGCCCGTGAAGGGCTAAATAATGTCAATAGATAGAGTGCACCCACTTAATAAAAAATTGTCATTGTAAAGCTATCAGACTTGTTTGACGTGACGTCCGACTTCCTAGTTTCACATTTGCTTGTCTAGAGTTACACTGGTAATTACAACAAATGAATTTTGGTTACATCTGCTGCACTCCATTTATGGCGTCCTCGTATATTCATGGAGGATCGGAGGCATTGCAGCTTAATTGTATAATTCATCTTCAGTTCTGTTGTTGGGTATAAAACACAAGGGTCAGCCGTAGAAAAAATAGCTTCAACCTTTATCTCCTCATAAATAAGTTGAAATAAGGAGACCAACGTCCGATGTATTATCACACAATCATGCTACTGCATCAGCTTGTCTTCTGGTCAGTCTTGCATACAGGCCTTCTTTCCGGAGAAGCTCCCCGTGAGTGCCCATCTGTGATGGAATAAAAATTACGTTCATGGAGTATTTTTGTGGGTGAAGCATTCCCTTGTTTAATGAGGATAGAATTGTTAACAATCATGCAAATGATGGTAATGCTTTCAGAATCAATGATAGACATGATAGCAGCAGTCCAAACTAAATAAACTACAGTACCAACCTCAACAATGCGGCCACCATCCATTACCACTATCCTGTCGGCTGCTTGTATTGTGGAAAGCCTGTAGAGGATGAATAATTTAACTACAGACTCGAAAAAAATCACATAAAGGAAGGTATGGGATACTGGATTGTACTTACCTGTGTGCAATTACTAGTACAGTTCTCTTTGTCATCTTGTCGCTTCTCATAGAACGAAGAACACCCTAGATAGAGTGGCAAATATATACATTACATACAGAAAATATAGATCGTTTAGGTCTTATGAATTCTCTTTTTTATTAGCAAGGAACTGAACTATTGCCAAAAGTAGCTACCTTGATGTTGTGTTCACTCTCTGCATCCAATGCACTGGTGGCTTCATCAAGGATCAAAATAGTAGGGTCCCTAAGAATGGCACGAGCAATAGCAATTCGCTGCTTCTGTCCCCCACTAAGCAAATCATCATCAACAAGTGTTTCATAACCATTGGGCAGCGATGAGATGAAGTCATGGGCATATGCTTGCTTGGCAGCCCACTCAATATCCTCCTGCTTTATTTCTCGAGTACATCCATATTTAATATTTGAACTGATATCCATGCGGAAAAGTTTTGGTTCCTGTTCAAAACAATTTTTTGAGGAAAGATCTATCTCACTTACTGAATTTTATTAATTTTTGGGTGAAATGAATTAACAAAGAACCTGTCCAACATATCCAATTCTTTCCCTCAGCCACTTGATGTCAAGCTCTTTAAGAGGGAAGCCATCTATCAAAATCTGCAATTACAGGAACTGATGAAAACTCAACTGACTATTAATTAGAACAATAACAATAATAAGAGAACAGAATATCTGCTATCAATTTTTTTGGTTCAAACTCTTCAAAGGGAAGCCACCAAAAAACATTTAAAATTAGAAATACTATTGCTAATGACAGGTTCGATTAATGATCACCTGCATAACAAACAATGAACGTACAGCAGAAAATTGCTGATTAAAATGGTAATCACAAGATCATGAGTGTTTAAAAGATAAATGATATAAGCATCATCAACAAACAAAGATTGTATGATTAAAATCATAAGAAAAACAATTTGACACCAATCACATACATCGCCTTTTACTTTGTTGCTGTATTGAATCAAATAATATTATACATATATAACCAATCAAGAAGGAGTGAATGCTGATTTATTTATTCCTGATGGCAATATCTTTCATTTAATTGTCATAAAATTGTCTTCTGTTCCTAGTATGAACTGCAAGATGTTGGAACCACAAAATTGGACAAAGAAACCTACCTGACCACTAGTTGGTTCATAAAGATGGAGCAAAAGATTCACCAGGGTGCTTTTTCCGCTACCACTAAGACCGACCTAAGAAAAATTACAATTTGGCATATAAGTTACTATGATGGTTGTGGACGTGAAAGACCAAGGTGAGTGAATGAAACACTTACAATTGCAACCACTTCACTTGGATTCACTGAAATGCTAACATTTTGCAGTACAGGTACCTGTTCAATTGCATGCCAGTTAGCTATTGCAGTAGTAACAACAATGGAAGAATAGTTACAACTTAAATAATCATGCACTTTCCTATCTGCTCAACCTTCTAGGTTAAGTTATAACTTAAAATGGTATCACAGCCATGTTGACTAAATGATCTTGTGTTTGAATCCTTTCATTGTATAAATTAAATTATTAGTTTATTGTATGTGTCTTGGGTTAATACTTGTGTTGGTATTTGCTGATGGTTGTGTCAATCTATCAGCAAGGTACTTGAAAAGGCAAGTTGGAGCTCAACTACTATTGAGTTATTTACCTATTAGTTTAAGTATTTAGTGTTAACTTAAAAGAATTCTACAGTCAAATTAGTTTTCGATCCTGTCATGCTGAAGAAGAGATTATAAGATAATTGAGTAATCAATTGATCTCAATTTCAATATGCATGAGAGAAACCATATAACAACTCAAACAATTGGGCTGGGTAGTGGGCCTTTTGTGGGTTAACGCACACGTTCCCTACAACTTCATTATAGGGTGGATTTGGAACAAATGACCCAAGGTATCCCCTTGGATTTCACTAAACCTCGGATGAGAATAGTCGTTTACCTCTTTTATTTATAATTAAGATCTCTATTTTTTAAGAAAGAAATAATAGAGGTGATATTCATAAAACATAACATAGTACATAAATTGAAAAATGCTGCAACTACACCAATCTTCCAATTTTTCTTACAACTCTAACATGTCAGTAGATTGATACATACATCAACTCCCATCACACCTAAGACATTACTAGAAACAACAAAAGAAGTTGTTCCTTCGTAAGAAATGAATGTTGTTATTTAAGAACAATCTTCATTTTATAAAGAATGACATTCTTCTCGAGGAATTTAGCTGTCCGACCATCCAAGTTTCCATTTACAAAATGGTCATGAAAACTTTTTGATTTTTTTGGGTTAAAAATATGACGTGGCATACTTAAGTGTAATTAAAGCACAAAAAGGATTGGGTGAAAAGATTTAATATTTGTGGGTTAGAGTATATAAAGAGAAGTTGATTTAAAATTTGAAAGACAGAACACATTCTCTCAGGTTCTTCCCCCTCGTTTTTTCTTCCAATTTTCTGCAATTTCTCAATTTCTTTGCTCTTTGCATTTTTTTCATTCCTGCCATTCTCGATTAAGTTATAATAGCGAGTCCTTGAAGAAACAGAAAAAAACTCATATAACCTCCCAAATTGTAGGCACGACTGGGTTACAAAAATGGAGAAGAAGAAGTGTGTGGTGGAGTAACTTCTGATGACTAAGTTGCTCCACTAGGAGAGGAGACGGCGTCAGGAACATTCTATTGGCGAAACAAGGGAGGGCATAGTGAAATGAAACTGAAAAGGAGGATGCTGACGCAAATTCCAAGCGTCGGACAGGATCGCTTAAGCGATCTGGTATGACAGAAGAGCGCTTAAGAGATCTGGTATAAGCGATTTTAGATCGCTTAAGCGATTGTGCATCGGGTATAAGTTGATTCTGCCCAGACACGATCGCTTAACGATTATAAATCGCTAAAGCGACCAACGTTAAAAGCCAAGGATCGTTAAGCGATCATGCTGTCTAGCACTTATTATTTTCTTGTTCCTGACGCTTAGTGATCGTAGATCGCTTAAGCGACCAATAATAAAGCGAAGAATCGCTTAAGCGATCCTGCGTCTGGGCACTATTTATTGTCTTGTTCATGATCGCTTAAGCGACCATAGTAAAAGCGAAGAATCGCTTAAGCGATACACTTAATCACTTAGCGATTGTGCATCTAGGCAGAAGTTTATTCTGCCTCGGGTAATCGCTTAAGCGACCAGGTTAAAAGCAAAGGATCGCTTAAGCGATAGAATAAAATCGCTTAAGCGACGTGCGTCGGGCACTTATTGATTCTATCTGTTCATGATCGCTTAAGCACCAAGTGTAAAAGCATAGAATCACTTAAGCGATAACATAAATACCACCAGATCTCTTAAGTGTACAAGTCTAAATACACAGGATCGCTTAAGCGAGAAATGAAATTCTCTTAACGATCCAGTGTATTTGGATTATTTTTATGTATTTCCTAGATTGGTTTAAGCGTTAACACACTATCTTAAACATATAAGGTGTACGATTCTTCAGTGGACAATGACAAATACAACCAGATCCTTAAGTGACTAAGGTCTAAATACACAGGATCGCTTAAGCGAGAATGAAATCTCTTAAGCGATCCAATGTATTTGATATTTTTTATTGTGATTTCACTAGATTGGTTTAGTGATTAACCTATCTAGACATATAGGGTAGATTCATTCATGGACCATGACCATTATTATATTTTATTAAATTGTTTCTTTTACGGACTATATTAAAACATTTATGTTTATATAATTATTACATCTATATTAAACATATCAGGTGTACAGATTCGTTCAGTGGACCAAGACCGACGTTATTATATTTAATTAATTAGTTCTTTATGGCTATATTAAACATATTGGGTAGAATGTTTACGTTTATATTAACAATATCGTATCGATTTGTTCAGTAGCACATGACCATTATATTATTTTAATTAATTTCTTTACCCAAGCTAACACTAATATATGGTGTAGAAATGGTATGTTTACGTTATATTAAACCATATCAGGTTACGTCAGCATCAGTGGAGTGATGGCAATGGGCCGGGCCGGGACCGGGTACCCCTTGGCCAGGCCAAGCCCCGACCTCATGACCAGGCCCAAGCCCGGCCCGAGCCGCTACGGGTGATATAGCAAAGCCCAACCCGCCCGCCAGGTTTTTTTTATACCATAGGCCCGGCCCAAGCCCGCCTTTTTTAATAATGTTTTATTTTTAAATATTAAATAATTTCAATTTTTTATATTTTTAATTTAGAAATAGTTTTTAAATATTAATTGAAGCTAGTCCGCAATAATTTAAGCAATAATTGAGCAATAAAACTTCATAATTTTTATTACTACTCCTTTTCAGCTGTGGCATAATATGTTTGGTGAAATCCACTTTTATAAGTTGAACCAACCATCTAACTCATTTAAGGCAATTTTAACATGTAAACCTTCAATATGGAATAAAATTGAGGTTAGGGTTTGGGAAAATAGATATATATATTATATATATATTATATATATATCTATATATAATATATATATATATATATATATATATAGATATATTGAATTAAAATATATATAAGGGTAAATTATAAAATTAATACTAAAATTTTACGGCCGGGCCGGGCCTAAAGATGTACCATGCCCGGCCCGTACCCAGGTCGGTCCTTAAAATCAGCCCCGGCCCAAGCCCAAGCCCTCCAACCTCGTGTAACCCAGCCTCGTTTCGGGCCAGGCAGGTACCGAAAATGTGCGGGCCCATGCCATCTCTATAGTGACCATGACCGTTATATAATTTTAATTAATTAGTTCTTTACGGCTTGTTAAACATAGGTGTAGAATGTTACATCTATATTAAACATATCAGGTGTACGATTTGTTCAATAGACTATGACCGTTATTATATTTAATTAAATTAGTTTCTTTTACGGCTATATTAAACAATATAGTGTAGAATGTTTACATCTATATTAAACATATCAAGGTAGATTTGTTCAATAAGACTATGACCGTTATTATATTTAATTAAATTTAGTTCTTTTACGGAGCTATATTAAACACATATGGTGTAGAATGTTTACATCATATTAAACATACCAGAGTGTACGATTTGTTCAATAGACTATGACCTTATTAATTTTAATTAAATTAGTTCTTTTTACGCTATGTTAAACATATATGGTGTAGAAGTTTACATCTATATTAAACATATCAAGTGTAGATTTGTTCAATAGATTATGCGTTATTATATTTTATTAAATTAGTTCTTTTACGGCTATATTAACACATATGTGTGTAGAATGTTTACGTCTATATTAAACATATCAGGTGTACGATCATTCAGTGGCCATGACCGTTTAATTTTAATTAAATTAGTTCTTTTATTGGCTATATTAAACATATATGGTGTAGAATGTTACGTCTATATTAAAGCATACAAGTGTACGATTTCATTTGTGGATCATAACCGATATTATATTTAATTAAATTAGTTCTTTACGGCTATATTAAACAAATATGGTGTAGAATGTTTATACTATATTAAATATATCAGGTGTACGATTCATTCAGTTGACCATACCAATATTATTTTAATTAAATTAGTTTTTTTATGGCTATTTAAACATATATGATGTAGGAATGTTTACGTCATATTAACATATCAGATGTCAATTCGTTCGTTAGACCATGACCGTTTATTATATCTATTAAATAGTTTCTTTTACGGCATATTAAACAGATATGTTATAGAATGTTTATGTCTATATTAAACATATCAAGTGTAGATCATCCAGTGGACCATGACTGTCATGACTAGATCGCTTAAGCGATCCATCAGATCCAACAACATTTTCAGCCATCTCCACCTACAATCGTCCATCATATTCATACCCAAAACACATACCCAGAATAAATTTTCAACAATTTCACTCCTTTCAACTTGCATTACATCAAACACAACCAACAACCTAAACAATAAATCAAAATCTAACCCAAACCCCATCTATATTAAATCTTGTAAATCTAAATATAAAATGTAAAGAGGATATACACATACTTACAGAATGTCAGGAGAAGGAAGGAGTGGGATCTTGGTGGAGAATGTTAATGGTGGAGGAAGAAGAAAGTGTTAATGGCGGAAAAACAAGAGATATAGAGGAATGATGAAAAGAAGATGTAGACGAAGAACAAGATGCAACGAAGAAAGAAGTGTAAACAAAGATAAGAAGAAACCGCAACCAGATGGAGTTACGTTAATGGCGGGAGAGAAGAAGGTGTTTGGTTTGTTTGCAAGAATTTCAGATTTTTAAAAATATAGTATAATTTTTAAAAGATTACATAATACTTCATTAAGCCTAATTAAGCACTAATCAATTTAATTAATAAAACTTGATAGTCTTTTTATTTGTTGTAATAAACTGCCCCTCGTTTCTTCCTGGGAACAACTATCCTTCCG